AGCCTGTGACCCTGAGCTGATAGAAGAGAACAGTGCCCTGATCACAGAGTGCCGCGAGCAGCCGCATGGCGAGAAGCAGACCCCAGCCACAGTGCAGGCATTTCTGTTCTCAGGCGTGCTTAGGACTGATGGCAGCAATCAGGAAAGAGATGAAAGGAGAGAGAAACCAAGATGCCATCATTTTCACGGGGACAGACGTGATTCTGACTGAAGTGGCCAGGCTGGCGGTGGCTGGTGCACATCAGAGGCAGCCGCAAGCGATCATATGCAAATGTCCTGCTGGGCCAGTCCCTCTTCCATCAGCAGCGCTGGGTGCAGCTCTGGATGGCGACACATTGCTTGCTCCAGTCTCTTTTTGGGTTGGATTCTGGCTCGGGTTGGGGTTGAGCAGTCGGTGGAGGGTGACATCGCAGTGATTAGGCCTGGGCTTGGGCAGCTCTGCGTGTGATCCCAGCGTCTCCTGGCTGTGTGACCAGGCCTATCTGTAGGCATTGAGCCACTCTGAACCCTGTTTCTTCATCTGCATAATAGGCTGGGAAGAGGACCTAATCGTAGGGTTCTGAAGAGTCAATGAAGTAATACTCGGAGAGTGCTTAGCACAGGATCTGACGGAGCAGTGGTCAGTAATTGGGAGCAGCCATTGTTTTGCTGTTATCATGATGATTGTTACCACCCTCCTATCAACAAAGAAAGGCCTGGGGATTCTCTAGCTGGCGAGTGGAAGGGTGATGAGTCACATTTGTCAAATCTCTGCGGAACAGTAATATTTAGAGAGGGTGATGACATGTTGTTCTCTAACCCCACCGAGAGCAAGGCCACGAGAAAAATAAATCAACTCTGTGGTGTGACAGACTGGGACTGGATCTGTGGACGGGGAAGAGACTAATGGGAGGGAGTTTGGGCAGGGAGGGGTGACAAACAGGAGCCACCACTCTTTGTGGCCCCAAACCCTCCCCCACCCCCCACAAGAATAACAGCTATCCTGGGACTGCCAGCAGCTTGTTGGACCTTTGATGCTGAGCTGCCACCAATGGCTAAGGGCTGAGGGAGCCAGAGGCCAGGCAACACCAGGAGCCCCACAGATCCTCTCCTGTCCGATGTGTGAGGACAGATGGAGACATTTCAAACC